GGACCTTCAGGAGCAAGAGCGCCTCCAGTGTTCTTCTTCCAAGGGTGACAGTCTTCCAAAAGGGAGGGTGCAGTCAGAAATTTGCCTATAAGCTTACGTTTAAATCATAGAAGGTTTTTTTCGATCATCTTAGCATATTTAGAATTGAGATAAAATTAAAAAAAATTCATTTGTGATATCAGTGTTTGGTATGTAGGAGTTGAGGTCCTCACAGCGGTGATTATGAAGACTTCTATCTTCTGGGATATAACGTCATGTAGTCTACTGAAAGTAAAACGACTTTTCGGAGTAACATGTCGCCTCCATCTTCAAGGTCGAAGAATAAGCCAAACAAGAAAACGGCGTAAATCTGGTAGCAAGCAGATTTATGTTCCTCCGAAACACCTGTTAATTTTCAGCAGTCTACTCAGCTTTATATCTCAGAAGATAGAACTTTTTAATATTTTATATATGTCCTTATTTTTTCCAAATTTTGATTTACTTTCCAAAAATTTGGAGTTGCAGGTTCTTTGATTTCCCCCATCATCGCCGGCTCCTGTGTCCTATGCCCTCTCCCCGACTCGGAGTTTAACCGACAACTTCTGCTCGCTTTAGGTTTGTAATATTTGATATTTAGGAACTCTTTTGTTGCCCGATCTCCCCATTACTGTCTGTAGCTTTGATATCTTCCAGAATTCTGATTTTCCCAAAGCTGAGCACCTTAATATATATATTTTAATTTAATTCCTTCTCAAAAGTCCTCTGAATGATCTAGGAGATTTCATTTATTGAACCTACCATCCTTTCTTGTGTTTTTATAATTTCTCATGTTCTGCTTCTTTAACTTGGGGTTGAGCGGTGGTCTGGAGCTCCATCCATATAAACACCTGTTATCGCAAAAGACTGATACTTACACTTTGATATTTCTGTTTTAGTTGTAGTGTAACGCTGTTTGCACTTAGAAAAGTCCTATGTATATTAGTGATTAATATCAAGAAAATTTCTCTATCTAATCGTTTGGGGTAACAGCTGAACGACTAGGCCTTATTAATAGATAATAAGTCACGTTTACGGACTGAACGGCCGGGGTTTGATTCCCGATGAAAGCATCATTTTTCTCCTTTTCCACAGTGTCCTGACCGTCTCTGGGGCCCACCCGATCTCTTATCCAGCGGGTATCGGCACTCTTACCCCAGGGGTAAAGATGCAAGGGCGTGAAGCTGACCACTCCCATCTATTGCCGAAGTAAAAATTGGTGGAGCTATATCTCTGCTTCCCCATATATCATGGCGTCATGCTTAATTAGTAAAGCACCGGGAAAATTTTACCCAACGTTTACTTATATAATTGTGGGTGAGTGGTATTCAGGCAGTAAATTAAATTAATCAGATACGTTCAGAATTTGGCCCTTTGTGTTACGACAACGTGTAGTATTGTGGGCGGGTATCAGCGTGTAGCAGGAGCATGTTACCCTCATCTCCAGGGTCGAAGTGTGTAGGGTGAGGGCGCGGTTGGATTGTACATCAGCTTTCATTACATTGGTCAGAACGATGGACGGGAGAAATGAGATTGAACCGGCTCTGGAACAGTTGAAATAGTGAGGATGAATCAGGACTTTCTCAGGGCGAAAATATTTTTCTTTGCCATAGGAAAATGAAATTGTGAGAGAATACCAACAAGTCAACACGGTGTCACAACCCAAGAAACCATAATCTGAACAGTTTCCGCCATTAAAACCTCAAAACTTACATGAATCGGACATCGTTTATATTACTTGTTGTTAATAAATCTGTGGTCATCAAATTTATCGGTAATATGGAATAATGATCACAAGTATATCTAACCGATTATAGGCCAGTGGTTACTACATGTATCACTTCCTTTAACATACTAAAGCTCTACATTCTGCCAACAAAATATATTTATGTATTCCATATGATTCTCACAATAAACAGCGACTTTTTCCCTAAACAGCATTAACAGGCTGTTCTTTGTAGCGGAGACGTAATGTGTTTCCTGTGAGGTACGAACTGAATTTTTATATAACATTTAAATGAGTCGTAGTCTGAAAGCTCCCACAGACGTCAGGGAGAAAAATATTGTCATGATCTCCGTGGGACTCGGAACCAAGCATCACTGTGCTGGCGAGGACTACAGGAATTGAGCAATCAGTAACTGGGACCGTATCGTCAGACAGTAAGATGGTAATGAGACCTGCGGGATTCGGAACCAAGTATGGATATGCTGGCGAGGATCACCAGCAGTTTATCCGACCCGACTCAGTGGGACTTGGAATCAAAAATCACTACGCTGGCGAGGGACAGCAGCAATTTAGCAGTTAGGCAGTCTGTCACTCTTTAAAATTTTAAGCAAGTTGGTTGAATTCGGCAAAAGAGTTTAGTTTAATTTTTCAGTGGTGGAAAAACAAAACTCTAATAATATTTTCTTAAAACAAAGTGTAAATGAAAAAATTACTTTGTTTCAGAATGCTGATTTTTGCCAGTAGCCTTTTATACAGCTCTGCAGTGTTCGTGTACTAAAACATATAGGCATTCACAAGGCAGTAACGGTGATGATCCCTTTACTGGCCGTATCCGTGAGCCAGAAGACACCAATGGGAATACTTTTATTGCATACTAAAGAAGCGACAGTTCTTTGCAAAACTACACATGCTGTCATTGTTACTGTCACAGTATACTATAGCTAAAATTTTGAAGACTATATAAGAGTAAAAAAGTTAATTTTTCCTTATGTAGTTCAACCAACTATTGCGAAAAGAATTTGGACTCACATTCATAACCTCTATCCCAATGCATTCGCAAATTTACCATATATACTGGCAAGAATACAGTATTAGTTTTATAATATCACATGATTGAGTGTGATTATAGATTAGGTTTGAATTGATAATCGGATTTATTGAACACATACAGAACGTAACTACAAATAACTACGACAGTCTCACTGAGTTACAAACTACAAAGGTCACTGTAACCACAGCACACATAGTCTTCTCAGTCTCCACTAGTCGTTGCTTGGTATCGGTTTCAAATGGCGGACGTCCCCATTTGTCTGGGTTTTCGAACTGTCTCCGGCCTCAGCTACCAGCTTCTCACAACTCTCAAATGACAACCGAACTACTGGTCCTCGTCATATAGTCCCTGCACGGGAAGAGCATAAAATGTCTCTGTCATTATTACGCGGTCTGTCGTTGCCTGGGAAACAACAGAGATGTTCCCTAGCAACGGATTTTGTGCTGTCGCCTGTTTACATAGCTGTTACTTGGCAATGGGCCTGCATGTCTCAGTATCGTAAGGTATTTTGTGTTGCTCGGGCGTTAAGAAACAGGAAACTGGTTAGGTTAACATTTGATTGATTGATTAAATTTAAACGCCTTGCTCTGGAGATCCAAGATTAACTTCCAATATTACGCAACTCGCAATTCATCAGAAACTAAATATCTCGCGGTCATGTCTACAAAGACCAGAAAGCTATAAGGAAATTCTCAAATTATTTCACCGAACTCCCAGGCTAGTGAGCACAGATCAGGCCCTGGGTAACTTCTATTCATGTAACTGAAGTATCAGGTTGTCAGCTTGGTATATTATCTGATTATCTGGATCACAAAATGTTAATTTATGTGTAACAGCTTGTTAGAAAGAAACAGGAAATTGTTTTACTCCGTCCGTGCAGATAAATAATTGCTATATTTCAGTTAAATTAGCTGTATACAGAGCCGGTTCGAATAGCGGTAAATGATCTAGACTCTTATACTGGAGGTTCTAGTTTCGAGTCTCGGAAAGTAAACCGTCTATAATAATTACGATTTTTCTTAATTTTCCTCAGTCAGTCCTTACAAATGTCTGGAGAGTACTTCGAATAGTCCATAGCCGCTTCATTCAGAATTCTTTCCATTACTCACTGATCAGTCATTCTGCATTCAACGCAACACATTGTAGAAAATTGCAGCGTCGTTAAAATACATTAAAAACGTACCTCGAAATGAAGAATCAATTATAATCACTACCGTGAAAAAAGAGGGGGCACGCGGTAGCGTAGTTGGTTGAGCCACTATGCTACAAGCAGGAAGGTCGCGGGTTCAAGTCCCGATGAGGTCATTGAATTTTTTCAATTGACCTAATCCGACTCAGCCTCTAACAGAAATTAGTACCAGGAATATTCTTGGAATGTTCTTGGGGTTAAAGGGCGGCCGGCGTGTAGGGCTGACAACCTTAGCACCATCTATGAGCCGACTGTCTAGAAAATGTGGGAACCTCAACACCTCACAAACCTATGGGCCTCCACAGCCTGTTACAGGGATACTTTTACTTACTTTACCGTGAAAAAAAGAAAAACGAATGCATTGTACGTTGAAAGTCAACCGAAGTTTCAAAGAAACTTATTGCCTCCATCCTCATGGTCGAATAAGTTGAGCAAGATACAAGCTTGAAGGTGTATATCTGAAGACCGAAGTGATATGTTCCTCCCGAAACGTCGGTTGACTCTCAACAGACTACAAGGCGTTATAGCCCAGTGCTCTTCATAACCTTCGCTGTTAGAACCTCAAATTCCTGCACTTTGTAGGGTTCGTGACGGAATAATGTGAAGACTTTGTAAAGTTATCGAAGTAAAAATATTAGTGTCCCCAGGAGACAGATCTCATTACGTTGAGTGATAGAACCAGTAACGCAGCTAGAGGAACTTAAATAGTTTCACATTAATTTTTCTTTTGCGTCAAGTTGTTTCAGACACATAATATATGTGATGATGAAGAGACGGATCGAAAAGAGAGAGAGAGCGCGAAGTATGTTCAGTTTTCCCTCTTGCTTATTGCCATCTTCTCCTGCTCCTCCGTTTCTAACAATACAGAGCAAATTCCAGCCACCCTCAACTCTTCCTACATCCACTACTTTTATGAAGATACTTTGGGGCATTTGACGACGAGCGGTTGGCTATTATTCGACCCAGTACAAACCGTGTCTGCTCATGCGCGGGGTCTCGCAGAAGCCAGCATTGGAAGCTACGGGTCGTGCAACACAGTACTGGCTCAGTTCGGGGGGAAAGAAGAGCGAATTACAGAAGACGGTTTTCGTAGTTCATGAGCACGGGTTTGTGGGTATTCCAGCTTCTAGAGCAACCCTGCCATATTCAAAATTCGACTGTGTGTGAATGTTATGAGGTGCCGAAGCTGAATCTCGTCAAATGTTTCGCGTCAAATGTAAAAAAGGAACATTCATTTATTAGTTCCAACAAAAGTCTTCAAAATATACAAAGATGAACGAACATTTTCGTTGAATATAATCAAAATGTCTTAATTAAAGACATGTGTATTTTGTGGTGTGCATGACGTAGCTAAGAAATAGGTATAAGCAGGTGCAAGCAAAGTGGATATATAAAGTGTGTGTGCAAATGCTTGCGCAACATTCAGCGAAGACCAAATGTTGGGCGGCAGTGACTGTACTCTTTCAGATATAACTCTCTCATCGTCTGCTCACTTTCACAGACACTTAAGTCACTCGGCACTTACTCTTGCAAGATCAAATTATTCTGTCTGTTTTCCCATTCTTCTTACTTCTTCTCTTTCTTTCCCTTCATCTTTCTCATCAGAAGTCACATGGAGGTCGTGAGGCTGAGAAACATGCATCTTTGGCTTCTGAGAGTGTCTTTATTCGGTGTGACTCTCGCAGTAACATCAGGATTCGTGCTTGAAGGTTCCCAGACATCGTACGCACAGTTTCGGAAATGGAACGCTGGCTTAAATGGGTCAATCGAACTGGAGTTTAAGACGGAACAGCCAAACGGATTACTCCTATACACTGATGACGGAGGAACATATGATTTCTTTGAGATCAAGCTCGTAGAGGGAGCCCTGAGGCTGAGGTATAACCTTGGAGGTGGAGCCCAGATCCTTACAGTTGGCCGGGACCTCAATGATGGACACTGGCACAAAGTACAGGTCGAGCGCCACGTGGAAACGACGTCACTTACAGTTGACGGCGTAACGCAGAGTCGATCTTCGCGTGGTAAAGAATTCCATTTTGGCCGCCTTGCCTCTAATTCGGATGTGTATATCGGCGGTATGCCAGCGTGGTACAATACGAAATTGACACTTCTGGCCCTACCGAGTGTTATCTTTGAGCCACGTTTTGGAGGCGCGATTCGAAATCTCGTATATGCGGATGAGGAAGGTGGTCTTCCCAGGCGCCAGGAGATGAAGATGACAGAATACAAGGTAAAAGAACTTATCCATCTATATTAAACAAATAACAAATAAATAAATAATTTATCGAATGTCCTAAATTTAGTTGGCACATGACGAAAATTCAAAGTATTTTGGTTGTATTGCTCTTATATGAATTAACTTTTCGGTTTACACAGTAACGAGTGAAGTAAGGATTTTATTTTTATTTTTGTTACATAGTTTGAATTTCTTATTGCATAATAAGTAAGAAACTAATAATTTTATTTATACATTACTGCTATATCAATTGAATTTAAATTGGCATAATAAGGACGGAACTAACAATTCTATGCCAATTGTCTATGGCTCTAGAGCCCTTTGGAACTTGGCCGTCTTTTTCAGTTTCTTGATCCTATACAGTCGGACTTTTGGACGGGGGATAAGTCCGTCGTAAGGTCGCTACCTACACACAGAACAGCACAGACACAGAATAAACTCACGCAGACATCCATGCCTTGAGTGGCATTCGAACCCACGATCCAAGCGTTCGAGCGAGCGAAGAGAATTAGTGCCTTAGACCGCATGGTCACTGTGTCGGGCCACAGTCTTGTTCTGCTGCAATAAAAACTGAGCTTCTCTCTCACACTGTAGTGTAATATATAAAAGATGCAATATATTGAAAAAATAAAAGAAAAGCAGGCGGTTTTCATTGTTCAACAAATTTTATCTGTCTTTTTTAATTAAATCCAGTGTACAGGCTGTCTGAATTTCAGCGGGAAGTTGTTGGAGAAAAACTAAAAAAAAAATTAAAGCTTTGTAAAGAACAAACAAAAGTATTAAAAAGAATGACATCTTCTGGGATATGTCACCGTGTAGTTCTTGTGTGAATCGCCGTTTCGGAGGATCGTATCGCCTCCATCTTCAGGGTAGAAAAATGCGCGAGCGAGGAACCAGCTTGAGAAGGTGGCTGCATTCAGAATTAACAGCAAACTCTCGCTAATCTGTTTACAGTCATTCCTAATCGAATTATGAAAAGTGAAGAATGCTGTTCACAGCTGAGTATATACCTCAAAAGACTCATGACGTTTAGGAAGGTGGGCGAGTCACTTGTCTGTTCAGACAAAACTTGACACTTTCGTCGAACCTGCATTATTACGTTCAAAAACAAGACAACTTCTGAGTCTTCAATCGATGAATTATAGTTTTTTAATTATGGTTCTACGGTGATATTTTCATTTATTTTCGCCAGTAATACTTATATCATTAAATTTTCCATTTATTCTTTTCTAAATTGTTTTCTTTGTCTTTTAGGGCTACATTTTTCTTCACTAATCCGGATTGTCGCTTAATCCGAATGACCCCTTTCCCAAATTACTCCGGATTAGCGAGGGTTTACTGAAATTATGAAATTATGAATCTTATAGACAGTTGGTAGAACTCCTTAGACAGGGGATCAGACCGCTGCAAGGCCGCTAACTACACGGGACGACACGAATACAGAATAAACGCACACAGACATTCATTCGTCGAGTGGGAGTCGAACCCACGATTCCAGTGTTTGAGGGGGTGAAAATAGTTCATGCCTTAAACCGCGCGGCCACTGTGATCAGAGTCTATTTAATCCTATATATTCATTTGTCTACAATTTCTCCTTATTTTTGCACGCTGATAACCTTTTAGTACCTATATCTCCATCAACATTCCTAAACCTCTTGTCCAGCACCTACCCCAATTGAATTCCCCTCAGCTCATGGCTCCAGTCTTCCCCTCTACGCACTTACACGTACCATGTTCATTTTTCCTCCTAAGCTCCTTCATTCTCAAACTTGTTATGTTCGGTTCTAATGATATACGGTCTAACTTAACTCCACGGAGCTGAACCATTCTTGAGAAGCCGCCATTTGTGCAGGATTTTACGGAACCCGAAGGTTCAGTACCATGCTCACAAGAGCCCTCCACTGGTCCCTATCCTCAGCCAGATCAATCCACTCCATACCATCCAATCCTATATCTCTGAGATTCATTTTAATATTATCCACCCACCTACGTCTTGTTCCTCATAGTGGTCTTTTCCTTCCTGCCTTTCCCATTCGTGATACATACCCTGCCTATCTCATCTTCCATGACGATATACGGTGTGATCTAACAGTATCTTTTTTGTCTGGAAGTCCTCAGCGTTTGCTTATTTTAATTAGAGATTATCCTGGATAATGAAATAAAGCATGAAGCTTGCATTAGTTGCATTCGCTTTGTGTTCGTGCTTTCTATTTAGTGAGTGTATACTTTAATATTATTACATACAAATAGTACAGCCCTTCTCGTGCAAGTGTCTGCAGTTTTCACCGTTTTTACAAAAGGCTCAATAGTATCTTGGTATACTGTGCAGAACTTGTTGGATAAAGTTGAACTCTCTTCCTGGGGCAATTAGCAGAAAAGGGGGGTTGATATATAGTGCAGTGCTTTCCCTGATCATGCTGTCTAGAAAGAAACGTGCTGCTCTATGAGTCCGGAATTCAGAATGTCTCGTGCCATCGTTAAAAACAGTCCTAAACGGCTTAAGTATATATATATATATATAAATGAAATCTTCAGGGAGCCCCCCTACCCCTCCGTGAAAGAATTCTAGCGGCGCCCATGTCCTCAGTGCAGTGTTCACACAAGTCTTCTGTCTCATTTCTTTCCTTAAATGGGGCAGAATCATTCCCTCGTCAATTTAAAGCAGCAAACAAAATAGACCGCGCCATAGCTCAAGCGGTTAGTTGCTGGGTTCCCACCGCGGCGGCCCGGGTTCGATCTCAGGTCTGGTCAAGTGTGATTTGTGTGGACAAATTGGCGCTGGGGCGGGTTTTCTCCGAGTACTTCGGTTTCCCCTGCCAATCTTCATTCCGCCAGATTCTCCATCATCATAATTACCCGGGGCAGGCTACAATAGGCCAATCAGTGGCCGTCGTGCCGAGTAGACCCAGTTGGACTCCACCCCCCACTAAGCGAATTAAATTAAAACAAACAAAATTATAGTTCTGTGTATTTTAATCTTTACATTTATAGAAATAAGTCAAGGAAATAGAACGATATACAAATATTTTCACTGGTATGAGTGACCCTCGAAGGAGCTTTTGGATTGGATATTGTATTTATTGGCCACTTACAGCTTATAATTACAAATAACTAAAACACTATCGATGATTTCCAAATTTTACGAATCACTGCAGCACACGCTAAGTCTTTTAAATCTGATTTCACTTGTCATTTCCTGGAAACTGGTTTTAACACGTTAACTGTAACAGTTTCACTTAACTAAACACTCAAAATATCACTGTAACTACAACACACATAAAAATCTTCTCTTCACAGCCTGACTTCTAACTGAACACTCTGATTTCAGAGTTACTTCACGACTGGTTGTTTACCACCAATCAGTTCCTCTTGGCGCCAAGCGTCTTGAGACTCACGACCAGAGATTTTTTCTCTGCAACTGAACCCTTGTAGTAATAGTCCTTATCCTTTATGACGAGAGGATAGGTTTGTCTCTTATGAATATGCTTAGCCTTTAGTCAAGTGCATGTATTGCACCTATAACATATTACTGAAAACTCTTCCTTTTGCACTATATACAAATCCTCTGTCAGTATAGACTTCGCAAAACAGATCTTCAGCCGAACACTCTAAACCTCGTCCCGCTTATAACATCTCGCCACTGACCACGTAGAAAACACAGGTCTTCTATTGTTGTAGTCCAACTGTTGCCTCGTTGAGAATCTGTTACCTAGTAATGGACGTTGTTCCGTTGTATTTTTCGCGGCAGTTGCCTAGAAACGAGTGTTGTTTCAAAGCCGTTCGCTAGCAACGGATGCTTCTCTGGTTCCACAGTTCTTGCTTTGAGCAAGTATGTCACGATATTGTAAAATTCCATATAACAGTTTCAAGTTGCAAGATTATAACTTTCCTTCCAGTATTTCATACGTCTATATTTTGTTGGAGACAGTGATTACTTCATTCAGCAGAAACAGTGATCCCTCTGTCTCTAATTTTTCGACCCTGTCGGTATCTGGATTACATTTTGTCGAATAACGAATTCAAAAAATGAGAGCTGTTCGTGACCATGGTATATTCATTCAATTGTTGATATTTTGGATATCATCCAGCGCCCTGTTTTTTAAAGACAACGTTTCGGAGACTGGATTCTGTCTCCTTCCTCAGGTAAAAGCGTACACAGTTGGGCCCAATCGATAGAACTAGTTCGTATCACCAGACCTATCTATCCTTTCTTAGAAAGGGGCCAAACTCTGTCAATTTGACCAAATTGAGTAGAATTTTACCTGTGGAAGGAGACAGAATTTAGTCTCCGAAACTTTGTCTTTAAATAAAAAAACAGGACGATGAATAATATTCAAAAGAATCATTAATTATATTGAATTGGAAAGAATTTCAAAGGAATCGGCTATGGTCTGATCGACGTATTAGTCCGGCATTATTCTGGAGGGACTGAGAAACACCACGAAGGTACTATATATTTCCCGCTGAGATTGGAACCGAACATTTACTGAATACGAGTCTAGAACATTCTCTCGCCTTTTCCTGTTACTCCCATTCGGAGCATAAATCATCCGTGAAACGCTTTGTTTCTCTTCAGTTTTTTAATCCTAAGACATTCGGTAGGACACCTGATATGGGGGATCAGCCCGTCGTAATGCTGCTACCTACACAGGACAATGCAAACACATAAAAAGACAGACAGGTATTCATGCCGTGAATAGGATTCGAATCCACGATCCCAATGTTCGAGCGAGCGAAGACAGTTCATGCATAGACAGCACGGCCACTGTGACCGGCTTCTGGAATGTTAGCACTACGATTTGTGTACTTTATACGTCTGTATTTCAAGAGAAGCGGAGGGACATTGAGAAAGCGAGAGGTGGGGTACTCCATTTAGAAAATAGCAGTGACATCTTATGGGACTTGTTCGTGCCTGGATCATGTTATAGCCAATAACATAAAAGTAAGGCTTTTAACAGTATATTTTCATTTGCATAACGAGTTTATGTATAAAG